GAGATTTAAGGTTATTTTTACTTGTATTTGTGCCTTTGTATTTCAACGTATTATTTTTTGCTATGGAAGGGGAAATTTTAAATATTGATTCACCAGTAATTTTTTATGAATCTATTGCTCATTATGAAGTTCATGCGCAACAACCATACACCTCATCAACATACAACAATAGTGACGAAATCCGCATCACGGTACAGAATCAGGATCATTGCTTATTTCCAAGCAAAAGCTCGATTCACATCACTGGAAAACTTGTGAAACCTGATGGAACAGCTCTAGAGCGTACAAATTTAATTTCTAATGGCATATGTCATTTATTTGAAGAAGCAAAGTATGAACTTAATGGTGTAGAAATTGATGAAAATAAAAATGTTGGTCTTACAAGTTTAATGAAAAATTATATTTCTCTCGATTCTAGTCAAAATAAATTTCTTGAAAATGTTGGCTGGTTAGAATTTACCAATGAACCAACCTTAACAAATGCACAAGGTTATTTTGATGTTTGTATTCCTCTGAGTATGATTTTTGGTTTTGCTGAAGATTACCAAAAAGTTATTATTAACGCTAAACATGAGCTTATTTTAATCAGATCAAGAACTGATGCTAACGCAGTGTTGCAAGTAGCACCTTTAGAAGAGTTTAAAATTGTTATTGAAAAAATTGAATGGTTATTACCATACATAAAATTATCAGATGCTCGAAAATTTAAATTATTAAAATATATTGAAAAAGATCCATCTATTCCAATAAGTTTTAGAACTTGGGAATTGTATGAATATCCTTTATTACCAATTACTCCTAAGCATATTTGGAGTGTAAAAACTTCAAGTCAATTAGAGAAACCTAGATTTATTGTATTAGGGTTTCAGAGAAACAGAAAAAATAATACAGTTCAAAACTCTAGTTGTTTCGATTATTGTGATTTATCTGATGTAAAATTATTTTTAAATTCACAATGTTATCCTTATGGTAACATGAATCTGAATATTGGTAGAAATCAGTACTCTACTTTATATGAAATGTTTACAAATTTTCAAGCATCTTATTATAGTAAAGAGTCTCAACCAATTTTATCAAAAAAAGAATTTTTACAATATGCTCCTTTAGTTGTAGTAGATTGTTCAAAACAAAATGAGTCTTTAAAAAGTGGACCAGTTGATATCCGCTTAGAATTTGAATCAAAAGAAAATTTTTCCGCCAATACTTCAGCTTATTGCTTAGTTTTGCATGACCGCATCGTTGAATATAAACCAATCAGTGGAATTGTCAAAAAAATTGTTTAACTTTAAGCTTAATATATATTTAACTCTTTACGCGTAATGAGATTAGTTGATTTAAAAATGCAGTACTTGATGGATGTGCAAGGATTCAAATTGCCAATTAATAAATTTGTTTTAAAAGAATTAGCTATAGTTTCTGTAAATAATGATTCAATACCAATAAATATGGTTTTCCAACCTCCTTGTCCATGGAATTGCGTCACAAACAAATATAAATGTATCAATCGTTGGTTAGAAAATAATTTCCATGGTATTCGTTGGAATGCTGGTGATGTACCGTACGTTTATTTAAAAGAAATTTTAGAAAATGTGTTTAAAGAAAAAAAGACAATTTATGTTAAAGGTTTAGAGAAGAAAAAATGGTTAAAAAGCTTAATCGATGAAAAATATTGTATAGAAATTATCGATATGAATGATTTAAATTGTCCTTCATTAAAAAAATTAAACATTGAAACATGTATTGGAACTTGTTCAAAACATTTAATCAACAAGAAAACATTTACTTGTGCTCTTCAGAATGTTATAAACTTAAAAACTTGGTTCTGCAAAAACTGTAATATTTAAGTATTTTAGTTTAAAATGTATTCTATTTTTTTCCTCAATAAAATTATAAAATATCAATTGCACTGTAATTATTATTTCTAACCTAACCTTATTGTTTTCAGGAATAAGAAACGACATTTATTTTAAATACATTTATTTATTATAATAAATTACAATATTTTTTAAGTATAATTTATTGTAAAAATTGTATAAATCGAATAGCAGAGAACTAATACAAACTACATTTTAAATAAATATTTACATTTTATACATCAATTTCATCTATTTCTATTGGATCATGCTGTTGGTAACCCCAAGGAAAGGTGTCAGTTTTCCCTGGTATCAAAATTCTTTTATCATCCTGCCAACTGAGAGCAATTTTATTTTGTTTGACAGTAAATACTTCATGTTTTTTGCTGCGTATAAAGTGCTGAGATCGGATCAGGTTTTCATTTTCATTGAGAGTATGCTTAAAATCATCGAAACCTATTTTTTTTAAAGTTGAATATTTTACCCCTTTTGCTTTCTTTTTAGCTTCCTCATCACCCCATAACTTGAATGCATATAGTTTTGATCTTAAACCTATAAATTCGTCTACAATTTTACCGTTATTTTCGTCTTTCATAAGACCCAGGATTTTTTTATTTGCAAGTGGTATATTATAAATGTTGTTTTCAGGATAATCGGATGTATCGAATTTATGTAAATCTCTTTTAATATAATCATAAAAATTTGGTACTGTGATGTGATAAACAAGACTGTCAGTATCTGTGTAGAGTAATTTTGCAGAATCACTGAAAGTCTCGTTAATGTAATTGTAATGAAAGTCATATGTTATTATTTTTGATATGTCTAGAATAGTGAATCCTATGTAAATTGGTTTGTTAAAGTATACCTTTGTTTTATTCATCTCAATAATGACCATATCTTTATCGAATATGGTGCAACTATGAAAGTTTGGTTGAGCAATTAAATTTTTCGCGCAATACCTTCCCTCCCATTTTGTTATTAATCTAACATCTTTGTGTTTTCTAACATTTTCCATTGTCTTGCCAAATACGGAATTGTTCATTAGCTTGTAAAAATTCTTCTCAAATTCATTACTCGATTTTTTTCGAAGCTCGGTATTTAAATCAATGTAGGGTTTTAACCACTGCTTTTGCTTAAATTTTAAAACTCTATGTATTTTAGTTAATTTCATTCCCAAAGATAAATATAGCTTTAAATTTCTATAGTGAATTGTATAGTTCTTCTTTGGTAATAAATTTTGAATCAATTTAGGAATTTTACATTTTGGGAGAGGAGGTATGAAATGTTCAGGGCATAAGGGCAAGTCTTTATGTGAATCATGAAGTTGAGTTGGATAATCTAAATCTACTTCAAGAATATATCCTTCTGAAGAATCATCTGGAATATTTAGGAAAAAGTCATTACTATAATTTTCTAACCATTCAAAATCTGTATATGGCAAGCTCTCGCTCATAGAAGCACCATACTGATTATTTATATCGAAGTACATGATATAAGATTCTGGTATTAAGGGATTAAAATCTTTTTCCATAAATCTATTATTAGCTTTCGCGTATCTGTTTGAGCATTGTGAAACACCACCTCTAATTCCCTTTTCAATAAAAAGCAACATTTCTACATCTGTCAACAAATCAAGTTTTATGTCTGTGTACTTGAGCATAGCGTCAAATGCCAGTCCTGGGGCAGTATAGTAATGTAACGCGTCCAAGTTATAAGTTGTAAAACAGGTTTTTCTAAAATTTTCAAAAATGTCGGCAAGTAGTAGAACGTCAGTCTGTAAATACAAGTCAGAGTATTCTCCTATTGTTTTTAAATTAAACGTTTTCCATACGTTACAAGCATGTTCATAGTCTTCGTCTGAAATATAAGCGTCATTTAATTTAGAGTAGAAAGAGTCTTTTACTGGCAATTGTCCTTCTTCTAATTTTTCCCAGCTACTAACATATTCGTAAGGAAATATTCCTTTTCTTGTCAATAAATTAAACTCGTCCATATTTTTACAATACTTTTTAGTAATTTTTTTCTCATCATTTTCAAGATAGGAGGATAATTTGTCTAAACTGCTGGGCATAAATCTAAATGAATCCAGAAATCTTAATACTACTTTTGTGCCTTTGACATACTTTGAAAATGAAATGTACTTTTCCTTGTTTATTGGTATTTTATTATATTTATTTATTTCTGCTTTTAAAAATTATACATTTTGTAGCAGGAATTTCCGCTTATACAATTATTATTTGGTAATTCATTCATTTAACATAAATGCTCGCAGTAGTAAACTATTTATTATATAGTGACAAATATTCTTTAAACTTTTCTCGTCAGGCGCATTGCACAGCTGGCTCAAGTCGTATCCAAACTCTAGCTTCTTCAAATAAAAATTTCTATACCCTTCATAAATCGGGCACTCAAATAAAAAATGATTTAAAGTTTCAATCTTTTTTAGATTGCAAATTGTACAAACTTCATGTTGATTCCAGCTGTACAAATTACCTTTGTATGAAAATCTGATATAGTGTTTTGAGGCTAATCTTAACTGCACAAATATTTTCGTTAAATACAATTTTCGTCGCCTAGACAGATAGATTGCCGCTTTATCTTCTAACGTCCTTGTTAAATTACATAATCTGGAATTGGATTGTTCATACCTAATTAGGTCCGAAAACCTCAAATACCTCTCATAACGACCCAAGGCTAAACTTAATTTTTCAGACCAAATGAGGGGGCAAAGGGTTGACCATAATTCCGTCATGTTAATTTTTTCCAACAGAACATTTACTTGAGCCACCCAGTTATATTCACAGGTTGGCTCAGAGCATCGCATCAATTCCACCTGTCTTTCGAAGCATATTTTAGGTAAACGAGAATTGTCCATTGACAAAACTTTCACAATGTAAAGATAAGCTGACTTGAAAACTTTTATTTCTAAACTAATAAGACCCAACTCAAGACGCAGGGCAGCATTGAAGGTACATTTTGGAAGGGATAATAATTGTTTAAAGTGTGTTGTGTGTGCAGATTCAATTTTTTGTAAGTACCTTAATCCCCATATGTGCCCGCAATACAAAAGTGTTGCCGAGTCAATACTATAGTATAGTTTACTTTGAGCCTCCCAGCAATCTATTTTTCCCTTATTTATAATCTGTCTTATCGTCCCAAAAGCCTGGTTAGATTTTGAGATTGCATACTCAGTTGCCTTTTTGCCCAATGCGGAGCTAGAAAACTCAACTCCCAAATAATTGTAAGAATTTACAATTTTAAGAGAATCACCGTTAATAAAAAATTTTTTCGATGATGGTTTACCCCCTCTTCTAAAGTGAACGATTTGCGTTTTTGAGGTATTGATTTTCAGACCATTTACATTGCAGTAATTTTCTATATCTTTTATTAATTTACACATCCTCACTGAGGTACTCGCCAAAACAACCGCATCATCAGCAAAAAGTGAAACAAGCAAGTCCACACAACCATTTATATTCAGACCCTCATTTCCAGCGTCCCTGAGTTTTCTTTCAAAATCTGCGATAAATAATATAAACAAAATGGGACTAAGCGTTTCACCTTGCAATACGCCTTCTGTTACCTCGACTGGGTTTGAAAACTCATTAGCAATTCTAATGGTAAAAGATGCATAATCATAAATAGATTTTATAATTTTAATTATTTTGTCGCTTACTCCCATGTCGTATAACTTTTGCCATAATAAAGCATGTGATACCGAATCAAAAGCTCGACGAAAATCAATGAACAGTGCATACGCTGACGTCTTACTCATTCTCAGTCGAAGATGCAGGGCAGACTGCAATGTGAAAACATTATCAACACAGCTTCTTCCAGACCTAAAACCATTTTGTGTTTCCGGGAGAAGCGAGTTTTTTTCAGACCATTCGGAAAGTCTTTTAGCGAGTATCAAAGTAAAAATTTTTAAGATGTAATTGCACAATGCAATTCCTCTATAATTAAGAGGATCATTTCTTAAACCTTTTTTATGTATTAGAGTAATAATCGATTGAGACCAAGCCTCAGGAGCTCGCCCTTCATCCAAAATTTTGTTAAAAAATGAATGTAAAAAAAATATCCAAGATAATGGCAAATTCTTATAGAATTCAGCATTAATGCCATCCGTACCCGGGGATTTACCTGGTTTACTTTTATTTAACGCTGCTATTACTTCCTGTATCAAGATTTCTCCATCCAACTCAGGGACTGTTTTACTAAAATATCTCACATCTGTGTTCACTCTTTCTGGATATATACACGCATAGAAGCCCTCCCATTCTTCAATTGTTATTGGATTCTCTCTAAATTCAAATCCCCCCTTTCTCCGACAAATCTCTACCGCAGACCAGAAGGATCTTGCATCTCTTACACTTGCAAATCTTTCTTGAATACTTTGCTCGTAACCTACTCGTTTTTTAGTTAACAAATTTTTATATTTTGCCTTCGATGCGCATAAAGAGAGCCTACCATCAGCACTAAACCCTGATTTTTTCCATTCCTTAGCTTTTTGTTTTGTTTCTTTTTGTAGTTTAATTAATTGCTTGTCGAACCATGGTTTCTTGTATCTAGATTTAAAATTCAAATTAGTTCTTTTTATCATACCCGAAAGATTCGCCACTTTCGTGATGCTATCAATCAGAATCCGGTTCTGCTCGTCAGAAGACAGATCAGAGTCAGGGGGAGCAAATTCAGGACCATTCAAAATATTAACATAATCATTTATTTTATTTGAATCCCAACATAAGCGATTAATACATCTATCTTCAGGAATGGGCCCAGCACTTCTATCTCGCGACTTTAATTGATTTATAGGTTTAAAAATAACTTCAATAGGGAAATGGTCTGAATCAATTACTGATGAATGTACTATAAAGTCATAAACCACTTCCGCATGAGCTACATCAATCCAAGCAAGATCTATGACGCTGGATCCATTTCCTCCGACAAACGTATATACACCCTCAGCATCACTCCTTGAGCGACCATTCAAAACTATAAATCCGTTTAAACTCATAAAATCATTCAATTCTAAGCCTCTTTTATTAACAAAAATATCACAGGTACGTCTCTTACTGAACAACCCCGAATTAAAAATCGCAATTTGATCAAAATCCGAAAGTGTTCCAATCCTTGCATTAAAATCACCTCCTATTAATATTGGTGAATCTTTATAGTTACAATTTATATCATCAATTACTGGTTGAAGCATTTCTAATAAGACTTCAATTTCAAAAGACTGTTTAAAATATAAAGTTCCTAAAATAAAATTAAAATTTTCTACTTTTATTTCGATAAAAAGCCAATGAATAGTTTTATTTAAAATTTTTGTTTTAAAATTAGAGTTAAACATCACCGCAAGACCGCCTGAAGCTCGCCCCATGTTGCGCTCCTTCAAAGCAGGTGACACAATACAGGTACTCGATGTCCAGCCAGTAGGTGGTTTGATATTCTCCGCAACTGCCCATGTTTCAGATAGCGCCAAGATTGATTTTCTATCAGAAAGTTTCTGCCCACCATCCTCTGCATTTCTTAGGTTTCCCTTATTGGTAACAGTTTCATTTCACCCTCAAAAGACGTTGCTAAAGCTTTAATAATGAAATGTGCATCATATCCTGACAAGTTGTGAAAAATTATGGGAACAACATGCGAATCTTTATAATTTACATTGCAACCTTGATGTGCTGGACCACGATATTTTCCCGTGAAATGACAATGGTCGCGGTGTTTAATGTCATCATTTTCAAAAGGTTTTTCACAAATATGACAAACTGTTGCTGTATCAAATTGAATTTGTTGTAAAATAGTTAAATTTTCCATTGGAATAATATTTGTAAAATAAGTATTTGCTTTTTCAGCCAATTGTTTTAATTCAGCCATGAACCAATCAACACAATCTGGACCCCGATATGATTTAAATTCTGAAAGAGATTCGTTAAAATTGCAATGTACATAGAAAGCAAAACTTGTTGGGATATGTTTTTGGTATGTTGATGTGTTTGTGTGTGTACTTGCTATAGGTTCTAAGAGACTTTCAGTGTCAGCATACACGACAAAGGGAACACTTTCTTTATTTCTGTAATTTTTAAATTTTAAAATTTTATTCTCTTCATTAGGTAAAATCACTCGACACATGTTTATTTTATCACAATCAATTTTATGATTATTAAATGATTTTTCATATTTAAAATGGCATAAACATCTATCACAAAATATGGTTCGATTTCGATCTTTTGTTATTTGAGATTTTACTAATCGAGATAAATTATTAATTAATGCAAAATGATAAACTTTGTTATTTTGAAAATTATTATCATCATCATCATCGTTTAAATCAAGTTCTGTATTTTCAATCATTAATAAGTGATAAGTAGGTTCATCTGATTTGTTTTTACTTAAATAAAGTGGAACAATTTCATTCTTTTTATTACTGCTTTTATCAATTCCGTAAACATTAATACTTAAATTGTTTAATTTTTCAAATTTTGGAATATCGCTGAGAGTAATGGGGAATTCAAAATCATCAAACTTTAAATCAGTATCTTTAAAGTGAGGATATGAACTTGTACGTTCCTTATTCTTTACAACTTGATAACGTTGTGCAATGATGGACCATAAAAAACAATGTTTGTCATTATTTATAACATTAATAACAGCTCTTTTATCAATTATAAATTTTGGCATTCTTATAAATGTTGAGTATCCAGCCGCAAGAGGGACATATTTATTTATATTAACACTTAAATTTATAATTTCATTTAAAGACCAACCTGACTTTTTTTGTTGAAAATCATCAATCTTAACAAAAAGTTTTTCACGAATTTTATGATCAAACCATTCATCAAAGTTTGTTGATTCTAAAATTTTTGAATTTCTAGTATTGAAATATTTAATATCTTCAATTTCCTCACCTTCTTCTAAAACAGTATAATTTGCCGCAAGAACAACATTAACTTTCATGTTTCCTACCTTTTTAAATGCATTTTTTAATCGAGAAATAATCATTTTCTTTGCATCACTGAGAAAACTGTCCATATTTTTATGTTTCAAATTAATAACAACACCTGTTCTAATTCTATTCTCGAAAGCATTCTCTAATTCTTCCCACCTGATCCATCTCTCATCCTTTTTAAATAAACCAGTTCCTGTTCTTCTTAGTTTCTTAAACTTTCTGCTATTTGCTTTTAATAGTCCAATAGTTGACAAAATCTTTTTTTTCTCTCCACATGACACAGATCCATTTCTTAACAATTTATTCAGTAATCTAATGTTTTTTACACTATTATTTATCCAAAAATTTAATTCCTCTGTTGTAGTTTTTTTACTTAATGTTTTAAAAGCATTGTTCATAATTTTCACAAAATCTTTACAATAGTTAGAGCTTTTATCAGTTTCCATAACTTTACTTGCTGCATTTAATTTATCTAAATTCATTTTTATCACTTGTATTAAATGTCAATTTTTTTCACTACAATGATTAACTCCGATCAGACTAAAATTAAACTTTTAACTATAGCGATTTTTTTTTAAAACGAGATTTTTTAAGCGCACTTGAATTTCACGATGAAATTCTGATATGTTGATTGAACAACTTAAACTGCAGGAATGGTTTTGATAAGAAAAATTGCCTTCTTTATATACACAGATTATGACTAATTTGATTTCAAGTTAATTATGGTTTTCTTAGAATTGTGGTAAAAAACAAAAACAGGAAATACCAATGATAATGAGTCATCAACCCTATTTTGCGAAAAACAAAGAAATTATGCGTCATCGTTAAAGAATGCACCATGTAAAAAACAAAAACAGGAAATTCCAATGATAATGAGTCATCAATAAAAAATTCCAAAACTCTGAGTCATCAACCCTATTTTGCGAAAAACAAAGAAATTATGCGTCATCGTTAAAGAATGCACCATGAAAAACAAAAACAGGAAATACCAATGATAATGAGTCATCAACCCTATTTTGCGAAAAACAAAGAAATTATGCGTCATCGTTAAAGAATGCACCCTGTAAAAAAACAAAAACAGGAAATACCAATGATAATGTGTCATCAAATTCTAGGATTGTTTTATAATTCCAAGAAATTAGATAAATTCCAAGAATCACATTCGCATCATGATCTCAATATCCCCCCCCCGAAAATTCTAGGAAGTATGACGTCATATCTGGCTCAGCATAACAGTCTGAATACCCCCCCCCACAAGGGTTTGAGTCTTGGCTAAGTGGTTTGAGTCTGGGCTAAAAGTGTCGGTAACATGTCGGTGCAGGGATCTTGAGTTAGAACCCTCCCTGTTTACCTACTGTTAGTGTTAAAATACAGATCGAGTTCGTTAGCCAGCAATTTTCGTCGAAAACTACGCAAACTACAGTAGTTTTAAAATTTTGAAAATTCAATTTTTTCAAATTTCATTATTTTTAACTTTATATTACTTTAGATTAGACAAATACAAACAACTTTTCTCTACATTTTTTCATAGAAAGTCAAATTTCGAAGTTATAGGCTCTTAAATAGTAAAAAAATACTCAAAAATTCTAAAATAAAGCTAAAAATCAAAATTTCTCAAAGAGAAAAAAATTATTACATTAATTTCCACATATTCTCACCCCATTGTACTCAAAAAATGCTCACATTAACCAAAAACTAGTAATTTCCGGAAAAACCACCGTATATATATATTTTTTATCATTTTTTTAACAAAAAATCCATATTTCGACTCAATTATCTCCAAAACTATTGCCTATGGGAGCTTGCTGCCAGAGACTTTTTTTCTCGTCTTACCATCAGCTACAACTTTGCTGTTGACAACTTTTCACTAAACTTAAAACTTTTCGACTTATTTGCAAAAAACTAATTTTTTATTACATTCTCATCATATGAGAAAGTATTAGTTTTGGTCGAAAATTGACTTTCGCTAATTTCATGAAATCTCGACGTTTTGGGGTCCCCTGAGTCCGAAAAACATGGTCTAAAAAAAGTGTCTGTCCGTATGTCTGTCTTCGTGTCTGTCTGTAGACACAATGGTGTCCCTACGATAACTCTTGAAAAACTTATTGCATCAACTTGCAACTTTGTATGCACAAAGTTAGTGTTAAAATACAGATCGAGTTCGTTAGCCAGCAATTTTCGTCGAAAACTACGCAAACTACAGTAGTTTCAAAATTTTGAAAATTCAATTTTTTCAAATTTCATTATTTTTAACTTTATATTACTTTAGATTAGACAAATACAAACAACTTTTCTCTACAACATTTTTTCATAGAAAGTCAAATTTCGAAGTTATAGGCTCTTAAATAGTAAAAAAATACTCAAAAATTCTAAAATAAAGCTAAAAATCAAAATTTCTCAAAGAGAAAAAAATTATTACATTAATTTCTACAAATTCTCACCCCATTGTACTCAAAAAATGCTCACATTAACCAAAAACTAGTAATTTCCGGAAAAACCACAGAATATATATATTTTTTATCATTTTTTTAACAAAAAATCCATATTCCGACTCAATTATCTCCAAAACTATTGCCTATGGGAGCTTGCTGCCAGAGACTTTTTTTCTTGTCTTACCATCAGCTACAACTTTGCTGTTGACAACTTTTCACTAAACTTAAAACTTTTCGACTTATTTGCAAAAAACTAATTTTTTATTACATTCTCATCATATGAGAAAGTATTAGTTTTGGTCGAAAATTGACTTTCGCTAATTTCATGAAATCTCGACGTTTTGGGGTCCCCTGAGTCCGAAAAACATGGTCTAAAAAAAGTGTCTGTCCGTATGTCTGTCTTCGTGTCTGTCTGTAGACACAATGGTGTCCCTACGATAACTCTTGAAAAACTTATTGCATCAACTTGCAACTTTGTATGCACAAAGTTAGTGTTAAAATACAGATCGAGTTCGTTAGCCAGCAATTTTCGTCGAAAACTACGCAAACTACAGTAGTTTCAAAATTTTGAAAATTCAATTTTTTCAAATTTCATTATTTTTAACTTTATATTACTTTAGATTAGACAAATACAAACAACTTTTCTCAACAACATTTTTTCATAGAAAGTCAAATTTCGAAGTTATAGGCTCTTAAATAGTAAAAAAATACTCAAAAATTCTAAAATAAAGCTAAAAATCAAAATTTCTCAAAGAGAAAAAAATTATTACATTAATTTCCACATATTCTCACCCCATTGTTCTCAAAAAATGCTCACATTAACCAAAAACTAGTAATTTCCGGAAAAACCACCGTATATATATATTTTTTATCATTTTTTTAACAAAAAATCCATATTTCGACTCAATTATCTCCAAAACTATTGCCTATGGGAGCTTGCTGCCAGAGACTTTTTTTCTCGTCTTACCATCAGCTACAACTTTGCTGTTGACAACTTTTCACTAAACTTAAAACTTTTCGACTTATTTGCAAAAAACTAATTTTTTATTACATTCTCATCATATGAGAAAGTATTAGTTTTGGT